CTGGCTGCCTAACGCTGGCCTCTCTGCCAGGCTTATATATTAAAAAGAGGGCACCTCGAGCAGACTAGAGTTGCCTGGCAAATTCATGATCTTTCGAGAAACTCCAGCGTGCATGCTCCCAGAGTCACGTGACTTTCGCTGTCGTAACAGTATATATATATATTCGGAACAAGACGTATGCACAATAAAGTATTCACACTATAGAGAATATAAGCATATCGTAAACGTTATATCAGTATATGTATAGTTCTCCTCTTCTTGTCAAAAGTCCACTTAGGCCTGTTCAATTACTTTAGAATTTTTGTTCACAAGTCAAACTATTTTCTCTAATACTATCGTAATATTAGTCTGGCGTGATTCACTTATGATTGTGATCTTCTTTCTTCTGAAGATCCCATGTTCCTTTTGTCAAAGTGCACTCAGGCTGATTCAGTTACTTTAGAACTTTGCTTTGACGGAATAAACTTATTTTTTATTTCCTTTTCCACTGTTAGTTTCACTCTAATATATATTAAACGTTAGGCCTATGTCAGTCGTTAGGCCTATAACTTTTACTTTCACACCAACTATATTCTCTCTGCTTTTATCTGCCTTATACTGTCTGTCTGCTGCTTCCAGCTCGTCTCTCGCTATTTATATTTTTATTTCATAGTCGTCTGGCCACTTTCTATATTCTCGACACCTTCTACAATCGTCTGCTTTTAACTCTTATTATAACAAAACTTAAAAATAATAAAATATTCACCCACAAATATAAATTAATCACTAATATTTATATCATGACAGTCTAAGAAGAATACTTTCAAAACCTACCTCTAGAAATTTGTTTGTTGATTATCTTCCTATGAACAAATCATTGGTTCTGAGTCTTAACTCAACGAAGCTGGTGTGTATTTATTAGATATTGGTTTCATATACAGAAATGTACATTATTCGTAAGTATAAACTCACTCAATTATTCTGAAATACCTTTTACATTCACTGAGAAAAGCTAACTCATTTTATTCATTTAAACAAATTAACAAGTAATATCAAGCGAAAAGCTGCATCTAAAGACAACAGAACTGCATTTGAAATCATATCACAGTTCATATTAATTGAAAACATAATAAAACTGGGCTGTCCATTAAATGTTATCAAACTAATTTGGCAATATAAAGAGTAAATAAATTTCATAAGAGACACATTTGTAACGGTTAGAATTTATTTTAGAAAGCTGTTCATGAAAAAACATGTTTTACTGATAAAAAGTGCTAGTAGTCAATACTTACAATACAACAATATCTTTAGCTTCCCAGGGAATTTCGTCTGATTTGCATTTTATTGACACAGGAGTTAAACTTCCCACAATAGGCGGCGCGACTGTCAATACAAATTATGGATATCAGACCAAAAATAAAAGACTTACAAATACGTGACACTTAATAAACAAAAGAACGAATATAAGTAGAAAGATGTTTCAATCATTAGGTTTCTAGGGGAATTTGGCCAAAGTAAGGGTGTGAAAATAAAATAAACAAAGTGATTTTCTCTAGATCAAGTACACTAATGAAATTTTCAAAACAAATCAAAAAACTCATTCAATTCTTATTTAACAAAATAAACAACATCAGTTAAAATCCATACGTTCAATTTGATTATTCTTTCAATTATTTCTATGCAAATGAGATGAAGAGAAACTGTTGTACATTTGACTTAGCAGGTAGAAATCTCGAGCGCTCTAAAATGTCCCCCATGGTTTAGCAGTAAGTCTGACGACTTACGTCGCTAAAAATCTGGTTTCGATACCAGTGGTGGGCAGAGTACAGCTAGCCCATTGTGTAATTTTGGGCTTAACGACAAACAAACAAACACTTTAAAATAATTATAACGGCTTCGTAAAATACTAAAAAAATGACCAAATTAAATATAATTAAAAATAAAAAGTACAGCAAGTGTGAAATAACCTTAGTTTAGAACTTATAAAATCGATAACTGAATAATAGCTTTTTAAACTTTATTTCAAGCATCTATATGTACAATAATCCAAAGCAAAATAATAAAAAATTACATCTTATTTCCTCCATTCAATTCTACCACAGAATATAAGTGGGAGTTTAGTTTCGGGAATCGAAACTTCGTCTATTACTCAAACAGATCGTTTGCTTGTTGTT